ATTCATTTTCTCGAAATTGCGTTCAACAAACGAGAAATCCTGTCTTTTGAACTTTGGATTTTTCCGCTTCTCTTCTTTAGGATTTTTGTCCTTGGCATGACTGCCCTTTACCTGGTTAGCACCGGAGTTGTTTATTTTACTGTAGCCGACTTTGTCTAAATCAACATCAATATAGGTATAGTTTGAGTTTCCTTTAGAATCGTCGTCGACAGTAGAGTAGTAATTATTTTCATTAACTTTATCTTTTGGTCGACGTCTTCTCCTGAAAATTTTTTTTTTCAGAATTTACGCATCCAAAATCACCACAAAAACCACAATTTGTACATTTGTCATACAAGCGTCGCATTGCGCTTAAGCCGAACACGTTCATTATGCCAACGTTACGTTTCCACTGATATCAGTGCAATTCGTAATTCTATAACCATTATAATATAACGTGATTGAGTTTGAAAATAGAAGAAAACAAAACGTTATCAGGAAACTGCAACCTTATTGGTATATGGTCACTATACCTTCACGTTTCTATCCAAATATAGACAAATCTTACGTCAAATTTTCATCTTGAAAAGGACGAATTCGAGTTCTATTGACAATGCCAAATACCAAAAATGAGAAGTAGGTCAACTACGATTTTACAAACCTCCTATTGACGAGGACAACTATAATGATAACTATAACGACCAGGACGACCAAACCTCCGACAGTACCACCAATTATTCCAGCCTGATTGGTCTCAGATTCTTTCGTCTTTTTCTCTGCTATTTTCGGTGATGAAGCAGATAAAAAACATTCATTCAAATAATTTCAAAGGATCTTAAAATAATTGCCACGGTTTTGCATATACAAGCCATCCTCAAGAAATTGAACATGCTGTTCCTACAAACCCTAAACTTTTTTCTCGAGTGATATAAAATAAAACATGTCTACAGCAAGAGACTCGTTACAGCTTACAGAGGAATAAAAATTTCAGTAATATCCTAGTCCATGATAGACTTAACCCTCAATAGAATTAAAATTTCTGACTTCTTTTCTTTTGAACTCTTGACTCTTCATATTAATGCTTCATGAAAAGATTTTGTTTCAAAAACAGGTTTTATCTTTAGATAATTATTGATATATCAGAAGAACGTTTTATATTTTTTATATTTTCAGCGGATACTGGCCAGTAGCAAATAGTGGGCGTGTCGAATGTTATGTACTTGGATTCGTCGTGAGCTTAAGATGGGGTTTATAATTATCTACTTTACATTTTGCTCTGCCCATCTTGAGAATTCCACTAGGACACACTCAGTTCCATGCTGTACAATAAGGTGATCCGTTTACATTTTATTTGCCCAGCAAGTTTTTTAAACTTCAGATAAGGAGTTGAGAAAGTGACCAACTTACCTTGTTTATTACCATATTCAATTGTTTTACAGTCTATAGTCACATTACCTGTATAATAATAAATATATTAAAACTGATCCAGCAACATGATTGTAACTATATATTCCGTAAAAAGGTGATAACCTGTTTGTGTAGGACAAAGGGGTTGAGGCGATGGAGTGGTAGAGGTAAGTCGGTTGTAGCCGTAACAATTCATATGTTTTCCGGCAGCAGTTTAAAAATATCGGGAAAAACATTTGAAAAAATTGAACTCTACCTGCAGCGCTAATAAGTATTAAAAAACTATCGCCATCTTTATTTGTGACGTTCTCAAGTCTTATTGTTGCTTTGTTTCTACCAACATATCTGGCCTTGGGTGGAATAAACGAACCATTCTGTGAGCAATATTCCGAAACGTTGTGTCCAGAAATGTTAAATCGATAACAGTCATCTGCCTGAAGATTCAATTTCTTAATGGTTAAATTTAGGTTCGTCTCTGTTGTTGTCACATTACACTCTGTGTTGAGTATTACGTCATTATCAAATTTTTTTCCATTTCCGGTATAGTCTACATAATATAGAGTTGGAAATTTGTTTCCGGTAAATTTAGTTGATCCATTTACCATGAAGTCCACGGTAATATTATCTGTTGATGAAAATACATCTTCACAATAGTCAAGGTATTACGTCTTCATCTTATACCTCGACTCCAATGGCCCACTCTCTTGTTCAACGAAAGATTGTGAATGCAGCATGTTGATTGGATTGTATGTTAGCGAATACAATCTATCTGAACCCTTGACAGACAGACTGTAAAAAAATGATTAGCATGAAATCTAAGGCTGTATTTGCTGGCATACAATCTAATCAAATGAAATATGAAATTGTGCCACTGCAGTCAAGGTAATACATAATACTTTGATATAAAATAAAGCTTATTTAAAAGTAAAGTCTGGAGTGAAATTTGAAATAGGTCAGAGTTGGTAAATCATTCTAATCTACTATTGTGTCAAGCAAAGTTCACAATTTGTCAATTTATTGCATTCATTAATTCTAACTTTCAGGAAAATAGGAATTACCTATTCGAAATCAGATCAAGTCGAGCAAACATGTATTGCCAAACATATAATAACATAAACACGAA